GGGTGCTGTTGTTATTTGTGCTAACGCTGATTCTAACCGATACAGCTATTTTAAAAAAAATTATGAAAAATCATGCATACATGTATCTAAATGAGAAAATTTGTAGTTATGTTTATCGGTATAATTTTAAGTTGTATCTGACATCTGGTAGTTAATACATTGTAATGACAGGAAGAGATTTGACTGATTTAAATTATGGAATACGAAATAATCACTCAATATTATTTTATTAAAGGAAGTGTTTTCTTTAAATTGGCTACTATATAATGACTGAAATTTCCTAATTTCCTCAATCCCAATACCAAAATGATAAATTTCAGTCACTAATTCACAGTGAGTAGATACAGATAAAGTGGAAAATTGATTTTGATTATGAATTATATATATGGCAGATTTAAAATACAAATTCCATCAGAACACAACTGGTTAGGAAATTGGATTTCATTTCAAATACTCATTAATGGCTTGAGCAAAACCTGCAAATTGTTAAATTCCTCACTTTTTGCTGCAAAAATTGATACATTCTTTCTAATATTGTTAGGAAATGTCTAGGAATGCAAAAACCTATTATATAATATAGAGGGAAAGATTCCTTTAAATTTGTACTATCTACCAATAAAGTAACCCTCATCTACAGTATATTAACATTTATTATAATTATAATATATAGCAGGATGTTTCTCATTATCTCTCTAGGACTCTTTATTCTACAATTTTCATTCAACTTTTACTCTTTTTCCACTTTGACATATTCTTATCTCAGAATCTCACTTAATTGGGATCAGGGATGCTGTTTTGAACTTTGTTCTTATTTTATTATATCAGATAATGATGCATGGCATAGTAATTGGCCACTATTATTGTATACATGTCTTGATTGGTGATTTTCATGTGCTGTCATTATTTATATGCTTACTAAATATATATGCAACCCCGAATTGTGACAATGGTAGGCATACAGTGAGCAGAAAGGATAAGCATACAGTGATCAGAAAGGAAAAGCATACAGTGATCAGAAGGGATATGCACATGGCAGTGAACAGAAAGAATAAGCACATGATTTGATAAACATCACATATTTGTTAATGAAATAGTAGATAAGATCAGCAAGCTGTTGTATGCAGTCAGATTTTTATTGAAATTGGCTATACCTTTGCAGGGAAGAGGTCATTTCCAGCTATTTCTTTTTTTATTATATAGCAATTCAGGCGTTATACATCTGTGACAAATTAGTAAAGCCTGGCTTTAATCTTGAGCTCAGGGTTAATCAGCTTGATTAATCAAATTTAATTGTCTAAAATCTTCAATGAAATAAACATCTGGGACCAAAGTGAAATAAATATTGAAGTCTATTCAATAAGTAAAGGCCAGACTTTTAGACTAAAAGTGTTAATTTTATTAGATATTTGCTAGTTTATTAGATCAAGTCTACAGGGGGTGTATTAAATTGTATATTGAAACCAGAAATGCATTCTATACATAATGAATTAATCAGGACAAGAAGTTGGTGTGAAACACAAAATGCCAAGAGGTACCGGTAATGGAGTATAGAGAATGGAACAAAAATACAGCATAGTTTAGCTGAAATATCTCCATGCACAATACTGAAGGTTATGAAATAGTACAGTGGTTTTCAACCTGTTTATGTATGTGTCCCAAAATTGAATCATCATGGAAATGATTTCTCCAAATATCCAAAGTATATCTATGATTGGATATCAGGCATGTTCTCACATAGTTTGATAGTATAATAATTCTCTGAGTACTCCTAGACAATGTTAATTTAGACTGTGTATAGTGTAGTCATCATATGAGATGTTGTAGATAGTTGTAGGTAGTTGGAAAGTTTTTTATTTTTCACAGCATGTGACTGGCTGTGACATATCAAATGTCCCCAAAGAAAAGTGCAAATGTCCCCACATTGGGACATGACCCTGAGGTTGAAAACCTGTGAAATAGTAACTTTAAGATACTCATTGAATAGGGATTGGTAACACTATTATTTTAGATGTACTGAACTAGAAATTCCCCTGTAAAGTTCAAAATTAATTAAGTTTGGCCTCATTAAAGTTAAGATTGATGAGTTGACCCTACATGACATATAAAATATATATCAGAGTCAAATGACAAATAACAGATTTATAAACAGTTGTTATTGTACTATGGCTGTTAATGTATGTGATGTTTTTATCATTTTTGACCAGATCTTACTGTGGTGGAAATTAATTTGATGGAGTGCTTCTGGAAAAACAGTGTAATTTCAACATATATCTGTTAAATTTTATGGTGAATTTAAAGCGTGCTGAAAAATAACTTCTTGATAATATGAAATTTTCAGCTTTCAGTAAGGTGGATTTATAGTTGTCTATGAACTAATGTAGTGAAATCATATGAACACGTTTAACACAAGGGGAACAGTTCAAATGAAGAAATACCAGTTCAAGACCAAGATCTTAGATATTGAGTGATCAATTCATTGTCAATTCTTCGATAAGAAACATTTTGACATGTATTGAACACAAAAGGTCAATAAAATACATCGATTAATTTGAGTGATAATCATCTGTGACAAAGGACAGGGTTACCTGTCTTACTAATCTAACAAGGTGTAGAAAGGATGTAAAAATCAATGTTCTAAAGTGATGATATAAATTATTTACGCTGACAGTATAATAGAAATTAGTATATAGAATGATAGTGGACTAATATGGTATTTAATAGACCACTATTACCAATAATTATATTAGATAGAATTACGCCCAATACTTTTATTATCACTATTGACTAAAGTAGGTTTTATATCTCATATGTAGGACTTTTTCTGATACACAAAAGGTAAGACATTCTGTAAATATTGTGAACATAAGTATGTAATTTTAAAAAAAAAATAAGTGTTTGATGATGTCACCAATCGCGAGGGGCCTTAGCCGAAAACGCATATTTTGCAATTAGTGACGTCATATAATACTTAGTTTTAGTGGAATGCAGGAACCACAGACATCTGATTAAAATGGAATGGTGCTATCAGTGTCCCTAAAACATCCCTTTACAATTCCTTTGATATGGATAACCTGTGCCATATATTTAGCCTTTTTTACTGTAATCACTGAAAATAGTTTGATATCTTGATGTGTTATTGTTGCTAAGCTGATGAGCTGATGAAGTGGGCATATAATCATGGTACATGTGTATCAATATGTTTCAAAAGAAACCAGCTATCCTAAATCAAAGGCTCAAAAACTCATGAAAACAATGAAGTGTTTGTATGGGCCATTAGAGGGTTATTAATCATTGATAAGATTGTAGTAAGATGTCCACCAATGATAGGTCATCACACTCCTTGAGTCGATCTTGACCCCTGTCCACCCACTAGAATCAAAACTCCTACAAATATGGGATAACTTAGTTCATTAAGTTTGTTTATCTTATTCTACTATTTATCACAATCGTGCATATTTGTGGTACATGGAATTTGAAAGTTGGTTGAAGTTATTTGACCTCTTCATTCCTATTTCTATTAATAAAATCAACTTTGGACTTGAAGATATCTGTTTCTCACAAACTGATGAGATGTAGATTAAAATGAACTACATCACTGACAGTTAACACCATTTGTCAATTCATTTGTAAATTATTCTTGATAGAGAGGCAGTGGATTTTCAGTCCAGTTGATGGTACGGATATTTTCAAATGATATTAGAATTTGTCCTGAAATCCCGTTATAAGCCAAATTGTAATAGCATATTGCGATAGTTGGAAATCTGCTTATGTAGCTGTAAAACCTGTTTTGCTGTTTTGTCTGCATTAATATTTAACAGTATGCTCCATCATAGCTTCAACCTTCAATTCATGTGTACACCATCAAACAATCCCTGATATCAACCCTGCTCTTGAAATCAATTGATATAATTTATAGACCTAACTGTATATTGACACCAAACTTATTAACAGTCATAACTCATCAATATTTACTATCCCTTGTCCATTCAGTGGTCAATATTGGTCAATATCAATACGTACCTGTAGGTTAACTAGAGAGTAGGAGGGATTTTATTACTCATTTCTCAAGGTCTCGCCTCAATGAAACCATTAGTTCGCCAACAGATGTCAGGACCAGACAACAATAGGCTAGTTATTAAACACAATACATAAATCTACAACCAAATTTGTAGTTTTAGGATTAGATATCTTGAAGAATTTCTATTGGAGGTTTTTTTGTGTTCTTTTATTGTCTTCTGCTCATTTTTATTTTGTCACAAGTTGAAACAGTTGATGCTTAGAAGTTTAGAAAATTTTGGTTGATGATGTGTCACATTTTGTCTCATGATTTAGGATTATTAGATCATTTGATTTTCGTTCAAAATGTGTCGATTTGTGAAGCTTTCATGTGAGTTGAATTTGTTGATGTACCAGGATTTATGAGGTCATCATTATCCATAATCCAAATTATACAAAAAGAAAGGATTGTTCACATTGTTATTTTTATCTAAAACTTGTTAACAGGTGAGAATTAAGTTATTTTGATTAATAAGACATTTATTTTATCTTTTCAGACAACACAAGAAGAAGAAGAATTAAGTAATACCATCATGCAAGACTACGACGTACCTCGCTCAAATAGGCTCAAAAATGGAACATCAAGAGGCAGTGATTCATTTAATTCACCTATCGCTCACAACAGAAGCTCAAGTGATACAAGCTTTCAGGACTACACCAATCAATCATTTTATGACACGCCTCCTTCTAATCGTCCTGTTGGATATTCTCTTCATAGTGCTTATGACATTCCTACCCCAGAGAAGGGTCTTAAGGATGTGAACCAAATTCCATCCAATCGCTCAAGTACTTTATCAACAGCCTCCAATGATTCCTCGGCTACCATTTCAAGTTGTGCTTCAAGCAATAGCTATCACCGTTCTTCTATACCAAGTACCTGTGATTCGGCACGCTCAAGTTTGGATGTGTCTTCCAATGACTTTTATGATGTCCCGCGAGACCAGCGCACTCTTAAACAACTTTCAACTGACTCTGGGCTGGATTTATATGACTCTCCACAAAAGCCTAAACCTGTGTTACAAAATTCATTTATTGAAGATTATGATGTGCCTAAGGGAGGAACATTGAAGGCCAACAAATCAAATTCTCGGAGAGGCAGCTTAGAGCATGCTATAGATGATATTTATGATGTGCCTAAAAATAACGCTCCACGTGTCGTTTTAAACACCAACACAGGAAACCTGTCATTTAGTCGTGCAGTGAGTGATCCAGTGAGTCCTATGAATGTTTATGATGTTCCTCCACAAGTTACTCGAGACTCAGTTATATCTGCTAAATCAGACTCCTCAGAGGAAGGTCAACGTTTATCTTCATGTAGTACAGACTCTAGACTATCTGATATACCAATATATGATGAGTTGTTACTGGATTTGGATTCAGCTCTTGAAAGACTGGTTAAAGTACAACAAGATGTGACTAAGTCCATCAATAAACTTTTATCCTTCGTCAGCAGTACTTGGCGAAAGAAAGAAAGTCTGGAGACAAAACTTTACGAAATTAAACTGGCATGCACCAATGTCAAAAAATCTCTGAGTGAATTTGTCCGGTTTTCTGAAGGTGCTCTAGGGAATTCTACCAAATTAGCTGATAAAAAACTTGTTGGGAAACTTTACAAACAGTTGAATCCCATACAAAACAGTTTACATATGATCACTGCTGCTATGTTGTGTTTAGAAGAGGACAAGTGGCAAGTTGCTTTGCTTTCTGAACCCTTAAACTCCAGCAAACCAGATAGTTTGGGTCAAATTACTACCATCTCCAAAGATCTTACTGTAGATGTCAGAAAGTTAGCTTCTTTCATCCAAGGCAACTCAACTTTACTCTTCAAGAGAGCATACGAAGTAGATTTCAAGAAGTCTGCCTCGATGGATGATACAGGAATGTATTCAAAGCCACCAAGTGGTTCTAAAACTTACACCCCACGTAAAGGTGGTAACTTACAACAACGACCTTTGCCTCCACCTCCTCCACTTGATAGACCATTACCACTTACTCCAGCAGAGCAAAGGATGAAAAGTCTAAGCATGAACTCTTTGAATTCTAAGGAGAAAGAGCTCCATGACTACAAAAACCAGTCTTTAGCTGAAGACATATATTCGAATGAAGAATATGATTATGTACAATTAGAAACCAATGATGCTGCTGCTCACCAGAAACTTAAAGAAGAAATGGAAAATAAATCAAAATCTTCCCCACCTGAAATTCCGGTAAAATCCAAGTCTTCAAGTTTGGAGAGTTTAGAAGATGAGCTTTATGAAACCTTAAAATTGCATCCTGATCCTCAGGAAAAGAATTCTTCCCCAGCTCCTGCGCTTCCAGAAAAAACTACTGCTCCCTCAATATCTTCCATGGATCTCCCAAAAGACACTCCTGTAGAAGAGATTCAAAAGGAACCTGAAGCGAAAAATGAAACTTCTGAAGTTGGGTCTGTTTCAGAACAGGTGGAGGATGAGGACAAAGCAAAGGAAAGTCCTCAAACAGAAGCTAAAGACACTGCAAGTGCAGAAATTTCATCCTCTTCTGAGGATGCAGATGCCAAATCTAAACAACCACCTCCTGCTACATTACCAAAACCTTCTCCAAAACCTATCAAAAAACTTCCAGAAAAAGAAAACGAAAATGAAGAGGTTCATCAGGAATCTAATTCTTTCATGGAAAAACTAAATAAAATCAAGAGTCTGGAGCATCAGAATGCAGTTGATGAGGAAAATGTTGTTTCTAAAGATGATGCTCCAGAAAATCTGGTGCCTGTTTCTGCAGATCTTAATAACAGTTCTGTAGATTTGTCTCAGTTGGATATTTCTAATTTTATTGATGATGATCTCAAAACACCTGTGAATACTAACAAAGACTTGGACTTTGTTATACCAGAAGTGACTTTAACTTCAAGTTCTAGTATGGAAAGCATTAATTTGGACCCTAATGACAAACAAGTTCTTGTGTATTATGGCGAACAGATGGACACCCATACAACATTACTGTCCAATGCCATAGATGCATTCTTAAACTGTATTGAAAGCAGTGAACCGCCCAAAGTTTTTATTTCGAACAGTAAATTTGTTGTGTTGTCTGCTCATAAACTAGTGTATATGGGAGACACACTGCACAAAAACTTGATAAACTCCCAAGTAAGAAATCGTGTTATGTTGTGTGCTAATCATTTGTGTGATGTGCTAAAACAATCTGTGGTGGCTACAAAAAGTGCCGCTTTACAGTATCCATCTGTGGCAGCTGTCCAGGAAATGGTAGACCGAATAATGGACGTGTCTCATGCTGCTCACAATATGAAAGTGACAATATCCCAATCAGCAGCTTTATAATTATATTTTAATCAAATGGGTTGATGATATTTTGTGCTAGCAGAGACTTCCATCCAAAGACTTACTAAAATCTAAAATTCATTTTGACGTCTTATTTCTAGTGACTTGTCAAATGTGTAGGTTCGCTGTGATGACATCCTTTAAGAATCCTGCCTTCGATGAATTATGGAAGTGACTAAAAAGTGATTTTGTGTATATGGTCTAAATATATATTATTAATTATGTATTTTTGTATAGAAATAGCAATTGTTAATGTATGCACTTGAACTTTTAATCTTGCTTTAGTAGATGTTGCCATTGGAAACCCAAAGTTTATTTTTTTCCATGCACTAGCTCTTGACATGCCTTAAGCTCTCTAATTGGAAAAAGAAATGTATTGTTTACATTGGTATTGAATTCTTTCAATGTATTATTTACTCAAAAAGTTTACCATAAATTAATAATATTGACTTCTGCTAAATACATATTGTCAACAAATGTTCTTGTCTAATGTTGTAATCCAAATGTTTACTTTTATTCTAAATGTTGACATTTCAAATCAAAACATCTTAGTGACATAAAGAACGTGGTATTTTCGAAATAATGAACTCAGAATATGTAATCTTTATCCCAAATGTAATGACACATGCAAGCATTGTGAAAATGCGGGTTAACATGAGGTTTTTAGATTAGTTTGCATGAAGAAAATATAGAGAAAAGAGATTTAACTAATAAGCTAGAGTTATCTAATGTTGACATTATTTGATTATAGCATGATTCATTATCATGAACAATAACTTCTAGATCAACTCTTGACCTGTGAACTGCTTTGTTCATCAATTTTCTAACAAATGAAATTTTTGTTGTGTTTGAGGCCAATTTCTGTATTGATCCTCTGAATGATTCATATTCTAATCAGATTGTTTTTGTTACGTTAATAATTTCTGATAAACTCAATGAATTTCGTCAATTTTTTGTAAATTGTATTAATTTTCAGTACTCCGTTTTATATAATTGCTGAAAAGTTTCTTGTAAATTCAAATAGACTTGCATGACCAACATCGCTTCACAATGTCAAGCCATTACTAACTTCCTCTAAGGTAAAGTTTGTAATATCTTGACATTGTTAAGATGCAGGAGATTTTTTTTTTAGTCTACTGAAGAAGTAGCATTTGTTCAAGTTATATTTCCAAATAGCCAAAATACATGAAAATTAATTTATTAGAATAGGTATGTCGCATCTTAAGAGGGAGATATAACTTGATTTTATAGGAAATAACTTTAATAGTTGTATATATATTATAAAGCTGTTATATTGTCAACTGAGAATATATTTGTTGTGTTATATATTTACTTATAGTATAATTTAAGAAAATTTACTTATATATGAAATATTATTGTAAACAATGTGCTAGTTTTATTTTATTGTAATGATAAAAATTGAGTCACAAGATGTCTTCCACCAGTTTTATTCTGCTATAGAAGCAATTGCCTAATGATGACTTGGGTGGGTTTTTTAGCAGAATTTGATCTATAGCAAAGTACCTAAGTTAAGTTATGATTTATTGCAAAATTTAATTGCAAATGTAAAAAGTTCATCAATTTATTTTCAAGGGACATTACATTATTGCAGGACAAAATCAAAAACATTTGCATTACACATGTTATTAAATCAATGTGTACATGTAATTAAAGCTGTGTACATTGTACATTTTAATTAAAGCTGACATAGTGTACACTGTACATTGTAATTAAAGCTGTGTATATTGTAACTAAAGCTGACATAGTGTACACTGTACATGTAATTAAATCAGTGTGTACCTGTAATTAAAGCTGACTTACACTGTACATGTAATTAAATCAGTTTTTATACATGTAATTTAAGCTCTGACATAGTGTACACTGTACATGTAATTAAATCAGTGTGTACCTGTAATTAAATCCGTTTTTATACATGTAATTTAAGCTGACATAGTGTACACTGTAAATGTAATTAAATCAGTGTGTACTTGTACACAGCTATAATAGCTGACATAGTGTACACTGTACATGTATTTAAATCAGTGTACATGTAATTATAGCTGACATAGTGTATACTGTACATTGTACATGTAATTAATACATTGTACATGTACTTTACCTGGTGTACTGTTCTCTAAAAAAAATTTCCATACCTTCTTCAGTCCTAAACCACTCTGCATTGGTTTCATATTTTCATTACTCTAAATTAAGCCAGCACCGTTACATCATTATCGAGGTATTTGAAATATGCAAATAAATCTGTCGTCAGTCAAAGATAACAGATTTCAACTGCCAAATTATATTTGTTGCTGTTTTAAGCTTATATAATATATTTGCATGTAAACATTAATAATGATCACTATCTTATTTTATATCATCTGGACATTTTCTCACATATACAAAATTCTAAAGTCTTTGCATACAAATATTAAAGGTGCCCTCACACTATAGCGATCACCTGTTACATATGGTTGCGATTACTGAAAGTGGTCATTAGTTCCTAAAACAACTCAACAGTCAGTTGCATAAGAGTTGCGTTTACAACTTAAGACTGCTATTCTTATCTGCAACAGTATGCAACTGGTGATCACTTTGGTTGTGATTGCCATTTTAGAATCTACTTTTACTTTCATCAAAATCCTCTCTTAATTGCTTTCCAAACTTAATGATTCAAAGCCAGCTGGTCTAAGTTGTCCATTTGAAGATGTCCAGATGAAATAAGAGGACTGTGCCTTGCTTAATTTATGATTATCTTGCATTGTGTTTGAATGATAGCTATAAGTTATATATAACCATTTCGTATTTAATAATTTCAAGTTATATTATTATTATGTTATGATCTCAAACATATTGAAATGTATTAACATTCAGTCATTTTTCATTATTAACAAGTCGTGCATGTTTAACATTATTGGAATACTTTTAAAATCAGCAATATGGAATGAGTCCTCCACGTGATATTAGAACGAATTATCCATATTGAAGCCTTAATATCTGAAGCACTATAGTATAAATTTTCAATGATTATACACTTGATATTGTACTCCTAAACTGGTCAACTGTTTAATTTTGTCAACAAAAAATGGCCCTGTGATTATATACACTATTATTGTCAGTTAAGGGTCATTAAAAGTCAGTAAAAAGCACTGCATACCCTCAAGGCTTGGTTCAGAATCACATGTATTCTAAAAATGTGTTGATAATTATTTTATGCAGTGCCTTCTGATGTAAAAATGTATATTTACCAGTTAAAAGTGGCTAAATTAAATTACTTCAACACCATCTTAAATGGATTCATATATTATAGAATAATAAATACTATATAAATATGTATTTTAGTTTATTTCTTACAGTGTCTCCCCAAATTGCAATTTGAAAAAAACCTAGCTGGAAGTACCAGAAGAATTGTCACAAGAAATTCTCGTGAAAAGACATATCTATTGTAGTTCTATCTATTCCGACACGGATAGATCAGTTGTTGCTGTATCTATTCCTACAAAGATAGATCAGTTGTTGCTGTATCTATTCCTACAAAGATAAATCAGTTGTCACTGTATCTATTCCTACAAAGATAGATCAGTTATTGCTGTATCTATTCCTACAAAGATAAATCAGTTGTTGCTGTATCTATTCCTACAAAGATATATCAGTTGTTGCTGTATCTATTCCTACAAAGATAGATCAGTTGTTGCTGTATCTATTCCTACAAAGATAGATCTGTTGTTGCTGTATCAATTCCTACAAAGATAAATCAGTTGTCGCTGTATCTATTCCTACAAAGATAGATCAATTGTTGCTGTATCCATTCCTACAAAGATAGATCAGTTGTTGCTGTATCAATTCCTACAAAGATAGATCAGTTGTTGCTGTATCTATTCCTACAAAGATATATCAGTTGTTGCTGTATCTATTCCTACAAAGATAAATCAGTTGTTGCTGTATCTATTCCTACAAAGATAGATCAGTTGTTGCTGTATCAATTCCTACAAAGATAAATCAGTTGTCGCTGTATCTATTCCTACAAAGATAGATCAATTGTTGCTGTATCTATTCCTACAAAGATAGATCAGTTGTTGCTGTATCAATTCCTACAAAGATAGATCAGTTGTTGCTGTATCTATTCCTACAAAGATATATCAGTTGTTGCTGTATCTATTCCTACAAAGATAGATCAGTTGTTGCTGTATCAATTCCTACAAAGATAAATCAGTTGTCGCTGTATCTATTCCTACAAAGACAGATCAGTTGTTGCTCTATATATATCTACAAAGATAAGATGTTGCTGTAGTATCTATTGCTACATAGACAGATCAATTACTGACTCTATCTATTCCTAAACAGACAGACCAACCGTTGCTCTATCTATTCCTACAAAGACAAATAAATTGTTAATCTATCTATTCCTACAAAGACAGATCAGTTGTTGCTATCTATTCCAATCTTAGATCAATGGTTACTCTAACTATTCTTAAATAAACAGAGCAGTGGTTCTATCTTTTCCACTTTGCTACTTTCTGGAGGGAAGTCGCTACATCTACTAATGGTCGTTGAAACCAGCTTTAAGTGTTTTTCTTTTTCTGATACTGCGAAAATAACCCTGATACATTTCTAGATAGAGATCTTTGGGATTTATAGGTGAGTCAAGTTACCCGACATTTGTTAATCCACAGCTCCACAGAAATAGATACAAATGAGAATAGGATTTCAATATTTACCACTTGTACTAGTGGCCGACATTAGTGAAAATAGCTTTTCCATTTGCCTTAGTGCTTCAAGACCACCGAGAAACCAACACTAAGTTCTGTTAAACGTATTACATTACGGCAATATTACATACATCAATTTTCATGTGGGTATTTTAGGTAACAATAATTACTTCCAAACTGTCTTCGAACCTTCTTATTTATTTCTAGTCGACTTACTAAAATATTCCAAAAAGAATAAACAAACGTTAGAATGGTTTATTCGATTGCCAAATATCTTTGAAAATGAGAACACCTTATGAAATGAAAAGACAACACTACATTTCAATTCCCTTTCTCTTGATGAATTTATCAGATTATGACATTTTTGGCATTATAAAATTTAATTGTGCAGATCTCAACCGCCAAATCCATGCATTTCTTATGAGCGGTTCAAATTCTTTTGATAGCCATGAATATATTTCGTCTGAAATATATATATATTGTAAGACTATATTACCAAAGCCTTAATTATGTTAGATCACCGAACCAAATACATTGTATCTTTTTAATGATTTGATTAACGAATACTACTCAGTAATCACTTCATAGGAATAGAAGCGAGAATATAGTGAGTATATTTAAAACCCCGTTGAATGATTTGATCAAAGAAAACTAGCCTACTCAGTATTCAAACATCCTAATAGGCAATGAAAACTAATAACATAAAATTGAAGGGAGTTGTTTTAATTAAAGAACACTAAACCTAACAGTAATAGAAAATAGATAGTGAGTTGTATTTAAAACTTCCCAGTTTAATGATTTGATCAATGAACACTACTCAGTAATCAAACATAATGATAGTAGAAAATCGATAGTGAGTTGTATTTAAAACTAGGCCTACTCAGTTTAATGATTTGATTAACGAACACTACTCAGTAATCAAACTTAATAATTGTACAATATTGATAGTGTGTTTTATTTAAAACTACTCAGTGTATTGATTGATTGAATAATATCACTCAGCAGGCTAATCAAACGTAATAATAGAAGAAAATTGATAGTGAGTTGTATTTAGAACTACTCAGTTTAATGATTTGATTAAAGAACACTGCTCAGTAATCAAACCTGATAATAAGGGAAAATTGATGATGAGCTCTATTTAAAACCATGGTACTCAGTTTAATGATTTGATTAGTGAACACTTCTCAGTAAACAAAACTTTTTTAATAGTGCACAATAATTTAATGATGGGATCTATACAACTACTCTATATATCAAATGCTGGTATTTAGCGCATATTTTGCTCGATTACTTTCATACCATAAATTCGAAAATAACTTTGACAAATTAATGACACTTATCAGTGTCTCTTCAACTATGAAAAGGTATAACTTCAAATTTATAATACGAACACGCCCTCGGATTTCTCTCCCATCACTAGAAAGCGGTTAAAGGGGGGTAACAAGTGTTATTTTGATTCAAAATCATTCTGTGAGATTTTCGGTAGTGAAAAGTCATGCTGATTCTAAAGGGAGATAACTATTCATTCAAGATGGCTGACTCCGGTAGCCAGCCAATGGAATTACTATTTTTTGATACTTTTACCCATGAATTGACAGAGGTACAGCATTTCGAATCAGCTCAAATGCACTCGATTTTGTTTGTTTTCAACTTATGTAAAGTTTGTATGCCTTTCACTGCTTTGATGGATCGACATCCTGTTATTCACTCCCCCTGCTGACCAAAACAAACAATGCATTGTCATTCTTCAATGAATTTTGAGTTGTGTCTCTTGTGACAGTAGGTCAAGTCCGAATTATTTGTGAGGGTACACATTGGCTGGAATATGCAGATATGCCAAGCCAATGAAAAATCCCTTTCTGATCCACGGTATTTTAGAAATGATGTGTTGACCATTAGTGAGATGTTATTTCGGCCTTATAAAGTTATAGTGGAGTAGGCTATGAATTTCAACTCTGAAACACACGAAGCCTTACTAGAACTGTGTAAGCTTATATAAAGCGTTGAATTGATGATATCCTTCATGACAATGCGTATAATTTCCAAACTCTTTTTTACAAAATAGGTTAAGGTTTTTGATCAGTTCCTGAAAGGCATCTCAGATTTTTAATTTGATTTCACTTGTTTGAAAGATCTTGACAGTGCATAGCTGACTTCATTTTTGCATTTAAAAATTAGCTGAATTTCTACATTTCATCATTATAAAATTGTTGAAGTTGTAACATACCTCATAACAGAGTATACACTTTGACACTCTGCTATATATAGACCTATATTATGATTAAATTTGGACAAAGTCATAGCTGTGAACATTCAGATTCAATGATATTTTCTTTTTTCTTCTTGTTGTTATAGGAGCTGAATTTGGATTTAGTTCAGTTTCCATGTCCCGTAATCATTTATGAAATTCGAGTTATACCATTGAGGACTCAGGTACAAGCAGACTTGCCTGGTGGTGTGAGATTAGGGTAAGTAATATTGTGTCGGTTTTAAAATCACAGGATAGCTTTCAAGGCCTTCATGTAGCCTACCCAATTATGAATGAAAAAAGGCTTTACTATAGTTTTGTGTTAATGTGTCATACAAATATAGTTACTGAATAATTAAGAGTGGGGAGAAATTCTAATTTTCCTGAAAAAGGGTGAGAAAATGACTATTCATACAATTACAAACATTACTTTTGTGTATTTTATGTTGATTTTATTTAAATTGTACTCTTATTCCATTTCAGTGCTACCAACCCTTCATCATTTAAACTGGAATTATTTGTCAACAATCTGAATAAACCAAATTCTTCTACATTTGAAAATATTGGAGTGTAAGTCAAAAGAATTTAGTTCAAGATGAGTAAAACAAAGCACCAAGCCTCATGTTCTCACTTAGCCTCATATTCTCAAATGACCCCATGTTCTCAAGAGGCCAGGCATTTATACCCTATATTGTTAATGAAAATGCAATTATTTTTACTTAGTTTCTAATATTATTTTTGACAGATTGCAGTACAAAGAGAATAATATTCAGTTAAAACCTAATGAAGATGTAAGTAATTTTGTTTTTATACTTTAGTAGGTGTTGTAATAATATAAGCTGATAAAGTCTAATGATGCACATTACAAACTCTGAATTAAACAAACCTCAGGTGAATTCTTCAGTTAATCTGTACAATCATTTTTAGGTACCTACTGATGGTCTGATTATAAAAGGATGGTATAATGCTATAACTTTGGCTGTTATCGGTACGTTGACAAGTGTAGCACCTAAACCAGAGCGTTCATCACCACCACCACCTCCCCCTCCCACTCAACCCCCAAGAGCTAAAGGTAAGAACCAGTATAGCATAGGATAACTAAGATATTATATTATGTAACATTTGATGACTGGTGCCAAATGCCTTGTTATGATTTCTATTCAAAGAATTTATAACAATGACTTGTAATTGGTTTGTTTATTTATTTGTTATAGATAGAACATGTATAGCTTTGCTGATAATCCTAATTGCCTTATTGGAGACCTTTAGAAATCTTATTTAGGAGATCAAAGCTTTATGTTTGCATATTTATTTTTCAGTTGAGAGTCGACCAGTAGAGCAGATTAAACCTGATCATAGACCACATCCTCCACCTCAACAACAACATCCTTTAGATTATATACAACAACAGATACAGTTACAACAAGTTCAACAACAACAGAGATTTCAACAGCAATCTGCTGCTGCTGGTGGTCACCCCATACAACCATCACCTACTATTACTCCTCCCTTGTTATCTCATCCACATCCTCCACAACCTCAAACTGATTTTAGACATGGTGATCATAGAGATCCACTTTCATACCCTCCTAGACCAGGTCATGATACCAGAGATAGAAGAGAACCAGTTGATCGCTCAAACTTTCCACCTGAACCTAAAGAGCCTTACGAGCAACGTGACTCTCATGATGAGCGCTCTAGAGACTCTTATGATTGGGAATATAGAGATAGAGGAAGGAGATCTTCTCGTGATAGCAGAGAAAGATCTCAGTCAAGAGAATCATCAAGAGAGCCTAGAGATTACAGAGACAGTCGTGATAGAGATATAGATAGAGAAAGAAGCAGTCGTGATAGAGACAGAGACAGCAGAGATCGGGAAAGTGACAGAGATAGAGGAAGGGACAGAGACTGGGATAGAGAAAGGGAAAGAGATAGAGAAAGAGATATTCGAGAAAGAGACCATGAAAGAGAAAGGGAAATTCGTGAAAGAGAATTAAGAGATAGGGAGATTCGTGAGAGAGAAAATAGAGAAGCTAGAGAAAGAGAACTAGAAAGAGAAATTAGAGAAAGAGAGCTTCATGAGAGAGAAATCAGGGACACAAGAGAAAGAGAGTTGGGTCGAGTACCAGAAGCAGATGATAGAGATGGAAGACCAAGAACTCCACCTCAACCTAGATTGAGATCAGAATCACCCAAGAGAGCAATATCAAAATCCCCTGGTACACAGCAACCTCCAGAACCTAGAAATAAAGATGAAGATGTTGAATCAGGTAAATGGAATTTTTGAGATTCGGTTGTGGGGTAGCATTGTTGTATTGTCGTTTTTAGGTGCTCATGAGTCAAAGAATTACCTACCAGATAAAAGCGTTTCTGATAAAGAACATATCCATATTTTGAGCCCTCTTTCTTCAGAGATTTATATTTTGTTCCCCAGGAGAATTGGAAGAAGAATTATATGAAAGTTTATCAGATGAAAATTCCCCTGCTGTATTTCAACAACCTGAAGCTGAAGTAGATAATGATTTACTGGTTAGTATAGTCATCTTTTTCTATAAGAATTTGCTCTTCAGCTGTCCAATGATTGTCCATTTGACAATGGGTTTATTTTAGCTTGGGACTGGGGTTTCTGAGATGGAAAGATATATCGTGTTTAAATGTGACAATAATTTTGAGAACCTGTGTGTTTGTCACTGTGCCAGTGACAGTGGATGGAGTTAAAACATATTTTGTTAATCCTGTTATCATACCAGAATTTTCCCCATCACACTTGCCACATCTCCATGAATATATAAATGTTGTATTGTTGTAACACAGGATGAAGATCGTGCTAGTTATGATGATATTTCTAGTGAAGATGATATGATAGCTGCTGAAGTTGATGAATTACAGGTAACATGCATTCTGGTCTGAAACATGCCGATCTTTGACATCAATAGCATTAACTCGTAAAGATTGTTAATCTGACAAGATTTTCTTCAAAACTAATGTCATACATCTATACCTAAAGCAGGTATGAAAATGTTACAGCTGAATTGTGGAGGTCAACCAAAGTGAAAGCTTGAGTTTTATCAAGATTTTAACTATCATTAAATGCCATTATCTTGTGAAAGTCTTATTCCATGTTCTATTATTTATAGGGTATTGAACTCTATGATATAAGTGAAGATCCATGGAATTTTATAACTTCCAGTTTTAATCCTTTACAAAGTGAACTTATTCCTCTTGAGGTAAGTATCTTTCTTTTTTCTTTCTTTAAATAAGTTTAATTTTGTTTTATAGAAGCAAATTATGTTATTTCAATGTTTAAAAATCTTACACTATTTAATTTCAGTGTAATGAAATTCCTAATGTTTTTTATGAAATTCTTGTTTCATTTCAGTGTTATGAAATGCTTACTTTTCATTCAGTATGAAAAAGAACATGATATCAGTGTTTATAAAATTACTTGTATTCAGTGTAATGATATTCCTTAATTTCAGTGTTATAAAATTACTTGATTTCAGTGTTATGAAATTCCTTAATTTCAGTGTTATAAAATTACTTGATTTCAGTGTTATGAAATTCCTTAATTTCAGTGTTATAATATTACTTGATTTCAGTGTAATGAAATTCCTTGATTTCAGTGTTATAAAATTACTTATTCTCAGTGATATGTTATTCCTACTTATTTCAGTAATATGAATTTCCTCCTTCATTTAAGCACTATACAAATTCTTCTTTATTTTAGTGTTATGAAAGCCCAGCTTTATGTAAGTTTGAAGTGGAGAAGAAGGCTAGTGATATACTAGATATCAGTGACAGACCAACAGAAGCTGAAAGTATATTAGACCTAATAAAGCAATTTGCAGATGCGCCACATCACGACAAGTAAGATTTCTCTGATTTTTTATGAAGGATATCTTAAAATAAAAGGTTCTCATTGCCATTTGGATAGCAAGTAGTATTTTTATTTATTAGTTGAATTATTTGATTTTAAAAAGATAGATAGTGAGTTATATTTAAATCTGCTCGTTTTGATGATTTTATTAAATAACAATACTTTTTAAAGCTACTCTTTAATGATTTGATTAAAGAACATTGCTCAGTAATTAGACCTTATAATAGTAGAAAATTGATAGTGAGTTGTATTTAAAACTACTCTGTTTAATGATTTGATTAAAGAACACTACTCAGTAATCAAACAGTAATAAAACTCTAATATATAGTACAAAATTAATAGTGAGTTGTATTTAAAACTACTCAGTTTAAGATTAGATTTAAGAACACTGCTCAGTAATCAGACCTCATAATAGTAGAAAATTGATAGTGAGTAGTATTTAAAACTACTCAGTTTAATGATTTGATTAAAGAATACTACTCAGTAATCAAACAGTAATAAAACTCTAATAATTACAGTAGAAAATTGATAATGAGTTGTATTTAAAACTACTCAGTTTATGATTAGATTAAAGAACACTACTCAGTAATCAGACCTTATAATAGTAGAAAATTGATAGTGAGTTGTATTTAATGAACACTACTCAGTAATCAAATTGAAAAATATAATAGTAGAAAATTGATAATGAGTTGTATTTAAAACTACTTAGTTTAATGATTTGATTAAAGAACACTACTCAGTAATCAGACCTAATAACAGTAGAAAATTGATTTAATTAGAGAACACTACTCAGTAATCAGACCTAATAATAGTAGCAAATTGATAGTAAGTGGTATATTTAAAACTACTCAGATTTGATTGAAGAACAATACTCCGTAATCAAATCTTATAATAGTATAAATTTGATAGTGAGTTATATTTAATGAACACTACTCAGTAATCAAATTGATTAATAATGAAAACAAATTGATAGTGAGTTGCATTTAAGCATTAATGAAATGATGATAATGAAATGATGATAATGAAATGATGATAATGAAATGATGAACGTTATAACTCATTTCATTTTCAAACAATTTTTATTAAATTTTTGCTACAACTGCAATATTTAGAACAACTCCTGTGATCCAAAGAACATGTATTTAAAATTCTATAGCCTATTTGTTACAGAATAAACTGATTAATTCCACATTTTATTTGTAGATGGGTAGAAAGTATGGAATCTCTACCAACACTGTTTGATAATGGTTTAACTTATCTTATTATAAAAGAAGATAATACAGGTAAGCTTAGTTTAAAATGTGCTAAGGGTCATTTATGATGGCAAGCTTTCCAGTTAAACACATCCAATCCCATTTGATTTTCCAATAAAATATGTTTAAACTAAACACATGTTACATCATTTGGTTTTATTTGTTATTGCATTGTGAGAAACTCTGAGCAACATGTTTCAGGTTTTGTTCTCTGATTATTTATGAAAATAATACAAAAAAATACATTTGATTTGCAGCTGTAGTAGAAAAGATTATAGAATGGACTATGGAGGGAGTTGATTTAGATAAGGCAATGAAACAACCAGAATCAGCTTTTAAAGTTCGACATTTAAAGATGGGCATTAAACTAACTGGTGCTTTAACCTCATTTAGTCCTGATTTTGCTAAGAAACTAATAGTAAGTAATATTTTCTTAATATATTCCAATAACATTTACTTTGACTGGCTTTGATCCTGAAAATGTCAAGGGATAATTATGTAAAATTTTCCATTAATAAGGTTTTATTTCTTTAGATTAAATTTTGTTTATGTTTCGTTGTTATATTACGCCCTGATTTGAATGGAGGTTCTTGAACATTTGTTTTGTTATTTTTATAGCTAAAAGATATCCAACATAAGCTAATAAACCTATTTGTCAGTCCTTATATGGCATTTAGTGTAAAATTGCTGATAGTACAAGCATTAGATAAAACTGTCCGGTTTATTGATGGATTAAATTGGTTTCTCGGTACTCATACTAATCAAATACCAAATAAACAAACTTGTTATCAACGTGTACTGGAAATCATGATGGGAAAACAGGTAAATTAATTTTCTCGTAATTTTTTTATAAAGAATCTGAAAGTCTTTTAAAAGGATAGTAAAGAGGTTTTCTAAATGCTTATATCACATAAGACCTTTGGATTAGTGACGTCATAAAACACTTAGTTTTAGTGAAATTGCAGGAACCTCAGAATGGTGCAAATTAATGCTATCAGTGTCCCCGATACACATATAAAATTTAGAAAACCTCTCTATAATCCCTGTTGTACTGATCTCTATGAAACAGCTATACATTAAGCATCAATATTGCTTTACCAGCCATAAGGACTAGGTCTTCAACATTTGTATATGAAGTTAACTTTTGTTGCATCTTGAATGCCAAGATAAAACTTGACATCCTAGCACTGTGTGTAAGAAATATCATACCAAATATTTGGAATAATCAGCCCTTGATGAAAAGAGTAATATATTTGTTGGGCTTTACTTATAATCTTCATTTGCCAGCTCTATACCAGCTCTATACCAGCTCTATACCAGCTCTATTCCAGCTCTATACCAGCTCTATTCCAGCTCTATAGCAGCTCAATACCAGCTCTATTCCAGCTCTATACCAGCTCTATTCCAGCTCTATACCAGCTATATTCCAGCTCTATTCCAGCTCTATACCAGCTCTATACCAGCTCTATTCCAGCTCTATACCAGCTCAATACCAGCTCTATGATATATTGTTTTCATTGTAGTTGGTTAGAACAACAGTAGCACTATCCTGTTTTCTTAAGAAAATTCATGTTTTTGAAGTTCTAAAGAATTTTTCAAGAACCGTAACAAAGTGAGTACCAATATGTCTTTAAAATAATTAGATGACACAGTTTTCAGTGTATGGAAATTTACTAAGAAGAAAAAAAATAAAGGGTGCCAGACAGCTAAAAATTCCATCTGCTAACAAAGATGTCTTTGTTAACAAAACATTTTTAATGATTATTCAATATACCAAATTTTATTCTATCTTTCAGTATCGTCAACAATTCATCAACTACTGAAGATAGTGAATCGGTACCGAAGTCTGATGGAACAGATATAGAAATGGAACAAGTTATGAATTCTCCTGTTTTTACAGAGTCTGAGCTATCTAATGTTGTAAACTGCCTCGATGAAATCTATAAAGTTTTGGTATTAGCACCTGATTTGATTGTAAGTTGATTATATTATATAGAATGTAATTTCATAATCACATATAGTATTATTTTATACAGAGCCTTTTATGATTTTATACAGAGCCTTTCATGATTTTATATAGAGCTTGTCATGATTTTATACAGAGCATTTCATGATTTTATACAGAGCCTTTCTTGATTTTATACAGAGCCTTTCTTGATTTTATACAGAGCCTTTCATGATTTTATACAGAGCCTTTCATGATTTTATACAGAGCCTTTCATGATTTCATACAGAGCCTTTCATGATTTTATACAGAGCCTTTCATGATTTTTTACAGAGCAAATCATGATTTTTTACAGAGCATTTTATAGTTATCAAATCTTACTCAGAGCTACAGAGAGATCAAACAGTTTATTTTCTGTACAATTTGATTTACTAGATAAGTGATTTAACTATATTTTCGAAAGGAAGATTGGGTTTATTTGGTAATTTATGACTTTTTCAGGGACAGACCAACAGATCTCTTCCAACTTGTCCACCATTTGATAAAGGTGGTGTGATGTATGACCCTTATCCTGGTCTCTTTTATATGTTTGATCATTGGTAAGTTATATATTTATTTATCATGTTTATCAAAGATTCTTAGTTACAAAATGGTAGATGCATTGGTAATACATTACACCAACTTGCCAAGCTTTAGACTGCTGATCTATTTTTGATATTTTTGCCCTGAAGGATAGAAAATAAAAATCCATTGCTGCTACAAGCTCACAAAGCGCACTGTGACAGTTTGAATAAAAACAGTAGGTTTATATTGCTATTCTGGCAAAATTTCTCTCATGTGCATGGTACTCTGTATGGCATTGTCTGTCCTTATTGGCCAATTAAGTTCAGGAAAGTTCTTGAGAGTAGGTAACACAGAGCACAACTCCTAGTTCAACTCAGAGGTACATAAAAATAAAGCAACCAGTTGACTGATAATAAAGGAAAAAAGAAATCACACGATAATGTTCAACTCAGAGGTAAATAATTAGACTGTGCTCATTTCAATGCAAGTAAGGGGATCCACATGTAACAGATAATTTAGTTATACATGTGGTGCAAGGCTTATTCTTCTAGACACCTGATGCCACTTTTCACTATGAAATACTTCCTCATTTATGATTGATATTTATACTTCCGCAGGTGAAAATGTCATTAGCTGCTACCAATGTTTTGTCAGTATGTTGTTTGGATTTTGGGTTTGTTTTGCGGTTTGGATCGTTATGTACATTTTTCTTCAATTTTAACACATATTTAAATTTCAGTGGTCTTCTGAATTCATTATTTGTATTGATCTCTACACCATCAATACTCTCTCAAACACCAGTACATCAATGTATAGAGAATATAGTGAAAGAGTTACTACATAGTCAATATGGTTTATTATATTTAGCTAGTAACTATGATTTGACTAATAATATTATTAGATCATTAGTACAGATTAATATAAATGTAAGTATATATGACGTCTGAGATTGTTTTACTACAGTGCAAAAAGGTTTATGTTTGACTGCAACAAACTGTAAATGCGTAGGGGGCTAACTTGCCCACAAATCATAAGGCCTTTTATTAAAGGGAGATAAAACAT